GGTTGAATTTAATTCACCGGCTCGAAAGATCGGGTTTCCCGATCGGATAATTCACGAAATAGATGAAATTTCAGAAGCGCTGAAAAATCCTGGTTGACGTGCTGACACCACTATATTAGGAGGTATGGAGTAAAGGGAAGATATCCACCAACTGGTAAAAGGCTTGCCATACTGCTAGAGAAGGGCCATTAAACCTATGCAGGAACTCGCATTTCTTCATGTCCTGTCATTTCATTCAATAAGGATTAAAAACTGCCCGAAACGGAATAGATTCAAGAAAAAACAGATCATGCTCAGACCAGATTGTAGCACAGCACATCATCACTGAAGAGAGTCTAGGATGTCACTTAACTCGGTAACTCAACTGCATCGGTTTCGTAGAAACCGTCAAGAGTGAAGTAACTCAACAGCTGCTACAAGACTGAGAAGAACAAGACAGTGAGACTTCATTCAACAGGTATATGATGATACCACATATTAAGTAGTTCCAAACAAAAAGCTCACTGAAGTAGTTCCAGCGAAGACAAGAGTGTAAGCAATAATCCTTCTGACGGCAGTCGACTTGACCAGGTGACAGACCTTAAGAATGGAGAAGTTGGATATACGTTGACCTGAAAAATAGACGCCGTAAGGACTGAATTTTGCAGTCTTGGGCCAAGTCGAGAATGACAGCAGGAGATCTAGTACAATGTAGATGTGCTGATTGAGCCCCACTTGGAAGGAGTAGTATACCCTGTACTTGGTCTGTGTTAAAATCACTAATCATGTCTAATTGCTTGAAGCGACTTGCCTGATAACTAAAACTCATTCATTTTATTAGGTAGTGTTTCGCTTAGATTATTCTTTAGGCGTGTTTTCAAGCAAGTTAGAAAGTTAATGAACATCACTAGTAGATTCTGGCAATTAACAAGATAATTTTATGAACAGAGAAAGGACTATGGAGAAACAAGCAACTGTCTGTTGGCATGTTGTAAATGAAAACAAATTCTTGGAAAATTAATCTGAAGCTCGCTAGTGACTTCCTACATGACGGAGTTTCCTGGAGTTCTGGCGAGAAGTCGTAACCAGTGAGGTCCACTCAGTCAAGTTTGAGGATGGATGTCCCACCGACGACATTGGTTGAAGTTGCGCCAACATCACCCAATTGTTTAAGCTCTTCAATCGCCAAACACCTGATTGACACAGGACACCGAGTAGATTTGTTGGAATCATTCAAAATAATTAACAGACAAAGTATTTCAAGTCTTCTCAGGTTTTCTGAAGATATAGCAATAGAACGATTGAAGCCTGATTTATGTGTCCGAAAAGAATCCGTTGTTGGACTTCACTTACCCTGGTGACTCACTTCTTAGTAACTCTTTGTTTTCTAATTTTGTTAGCTTATCTTTTCACTCCACTCCACCCAATTTATTTTTCGCTTGACTCTCTTAAGAGATAATTTTTCTTGATCTTCTGAGTTCTGCTCACTGTATGTATTACATCATCAACTTCTCAACTGACCTCATGTGAACCGAAATTTTAAAATTTTGACCTTCTCTTATCTGATTACGTAACTATTACTAATTTTTTTGTTACCATCCCAACAACACAACTGTTAATTAATTTTTTCAAGAAACTTCTCTCTAACTATATGTATATATATATATACATATATATACATGTCGTAACGCTTTAGACACCCTGTAAATCTCAACGCCTTATTTTACGATGACGTTCTGACAGTGTGCTTGCTAGTGGACAAAAGTTTGTTAAAATTGTACATTTTTATTTTATTAAAGAACTGAAGTTGTACGCAGCTGATGAGAACCAACGAAATAAAATGGATCCAGATTATTCTGCGCGCCAATGTTTCTTCTCTCTTTGTTCAAAATTATAAAAGGGAATCATGGTATGTAATCCCTACAAACCAACTATAGAAAATTTTTAGTGGAATTCAAAATCTTTTTATTTAATTGTAAGGTATTTTAGAGTACTTTTTAAAATACACTTTGAAATGACCAGTTGAAGTTAAACTCATTTTTACAAAGAAATATACAAACGGTGGTCGGCGGTTAGTTTGTTCACAAGTGATAATATGAAGTCAAAATAAAATTAAAAGACTGAATATATAATAATAATATATAATATAAACAGGAGTAAGATTTTTACAGATTTTCACAGAAATCATGCTTCCGATGTCACACGTGGAGTCTTTTCTGTCAGGGCACGAGCAGGTAGGAGCAGGGCTGAATATCTCAAATTCTGAAATTGTAAAAACGTAAATGTAATAACGAAATAAGGAAGTAAATATGCAAAGAAATTTTGTTTTTTTTGCAATGCAGCTGTGTTCTCTGAGCTGGGTGGTTTATTTGCGAAACTTTAAATATACTACTAGTTTACGTTGTCCCTGGCGTAGACGTGATATCCGGCTCTCAACCAAAGGGTATGTGAACTACTCAGCAGTACGCTCCGTCCTTCCTTATGGGTGTGAGACCTAACCATTGAAAGTAAAAGACGTGAAGAGGCTGGTTAGCTGTCTTTGGTCATAGGCGTCTGCGCCCTACCTCCCAATGTGAAGCGATATAATAGGGTGAACACTATTGAGGTTCTATGTTGAGACCAGTCAGTTTGTCATTGCCCTACTAACCAATATCTTTGGCGCATACTTCAATTTGTTGAAGTGAGCGTTCAGATTTCTCCACGAGTTTATAAGTCATCTCTCATGGTGATTAACCTTGACTGTGTTTGATTGTTTTTGTGTGTTTTCAAACCTTCCAGGTTACTTTTATTGGCGCTGATTGTTTCCTTGACCTGAAGTTTGACCCTTTGTGTAAGAGATTTCCTTCTTATCGATTGGTAAATTTTGTCTATGTCAATGTGTCTATGAACTAACGATTCAGTGGAATATCAGGCTCCTAAAATTCCTCTAGCACTTTCGGTGTTTCCTCTGTTGCCTAATATTTGAAGGTTGTCCCAGCAGAATTGCTACCCATGGTTGTCTGTAGACAGCGATATGAGGGAGTGGATGCCATGTCTTTTGACAGCTAGCTTATGTTCATGGTTACGAAGAAGAAGGGGACGTCTATCTTTGGCTAATGTAGTGTTCTTCGATGTTGTTACGATTTATTTTGTAGATGATGTTGGCTTTACCTTCTTTCGCTGTTGAGTTCTTTGTTGGTTTGTGCGCTCCATCAATTCCCAAAGGTTTGAAGAATCTTGCGGTGACTTCTGAGATGTTCTTTATATATGGTAGGGCGATTTTCGTTGTCTCCCTTGGGGGCCTTTGATTTGGTAGGTCGACTTGGGGGTATGTGTCTTCTGATGCAGTTCGGTGGATATCCATTCTTTCGGAAGACGTCCATAAGGGTGTAAAAACACAAATAACAACCAATCACACCCAAGAGCACCAACTTGGAGAGATAACTTATACACTCGTGGAGAAATCTTAAAGCTCGTTCAACAAATTAAAGTATGCCCTGAAGGAAGATGTTGCCTAGTAGGGCAATGAAAGCTTCACAAATAAATCAGCCAGCTAGCTCAGAGAACACAACTAAATCAAAATCAAATAAAGTATAATTATATTTTAATAGTTTACACACAATGATAAGTTTTGTTATTGGTAATATTTCGAGCAAAATTACTGCCCGTGTTCACACCACTGTTGGAATTGTTTTATTCACACATTTATGATTTGTACTCATATATATAGTTCATTATTATTATTTTTTTGCTTATTCATGTTTTGTGTGTGCATATGTGTGTTCAGAATTATACTCCACATTCATTCATGTGTTTGTATTTAGAATTATATTCCAAGTTGTTGATAGTTGTACTGAGTCACCCTTGTTACATGTATCCGGTGTGACTTTAATGAATATCGATTCTGTTATGAGTCTTTCTTTCCATTTGTTCATGTTTGTTTTTAGAATACACACATTGTCCCAATCGATATTGTGGTTTTTGTCACATGCATGTGCAGCTATCGATGAATTTTTTTCAAGATTTTTGTAAGCTTGTGTCCCTGTTGGTTGACCTTTAGTTAGGCGTTTATGTTCATTCACTCTTATTTTGAGTGATCTGGACGTTTGCCCCACATATTTAGTTGGACAGTCAGCACAAGATATTTTATAAATCAAATTGTTTTTATCCATCATTTTTATGGGATCTTTCAGTTGATTTATTTTATTTTTGATTAGATTTGTCGGTTTAAAGGTTGTTCGAATGCCGATATTTTTGAGGTTTCTTTGTATTGCCTCTGATGTACCATTTTTATATGGTATTGCGACTGTTTTTTTCCATTCTTCCTTCTTGTTATTCTCCGGTTTTACCCTCTTTTTTATATTATCTTTTATAAATTCTCTAGGGTAGTTGTTTTCGAGTAGCATTTTGAATAGGACTTTTATTTCTTTACGCTGGTCCTCTGGTGCTGTTGTAAGTCTACGTATTCTATCTGCAAGACCTTGTATTAGTCCTCGTTTTACCGAGAGTGGATGAGCTGAGTAATAATCAAGGAATCTTCCAGAATGTGTGGCTTTTCTATATATCGTTGTTTTTATGCTACCATCTGTCATTCTTTGTAGTTTGCAATCTAACATGGGCAGTTCTCCAATTTCATTCTCTAATTCCATAGTGAATTTTATTGAGTCGACGTGTTTGTTTATGTGTGAGCAAAGTTTCTCAGTATCGTTTTTTTTCACTATTACTAGTGTGTCGTCTACATATCTCCACCAACATTTTAGTGATGATCTGAATGGTTTAAGGGCATTCTCCTCCCAATAATCCATGAATATGTCAGCTATAATTGGTGAGATAGGCGATCCCATAGCTACTCCCTCATTTTGTTGGTATATTTTTCCTTCGAATGTGAAATATGTTGTTGTCAGACAGAATTCTACCCCTTTTATTATTTCTTCTACGGATAACTGTGTTCTGTCTTTCAGGCCATTATCTTCATTTAGTTTCTCTTTCAGTGCAATCATGGCCATTTGAATGGGTATTTTCGTATAAAGACTGTTTACATCAAAGCTAACTAGTATTTCTTCCTCCTCTATTTTAGTGGTTTTTATTCGCCTCACTAATTCAAATGAATCTACTATTCTAGCTTTTGAGTTGTCTCTTGTCGGTCTTAGTATTGTTGAGAGAAATCTGGATAGCATATACGTTGGTGTGTTTCTGAAGTCTACAATCGGTCTTATTGGATATCCCTCTTTATGCAATTTTATCTTACCATATATCCTAGGTACATTACAGGATTTTGGCAAAATTTCAAACCATTTTGACTTACCAATTACTTCTTTCATTTGTCTAACTAACTTTGCTGTTTCTTTCATTGTTTTGTTGATGATAGTTTCAGCTGATTTAGTCATTATGGTATAGGGTCCAGATTGTAGATTTTCATTCATCTTTTCATTATATGTTGTTTTGTTAAGTAATACTGTTGTGTTTCCTTTGTCTGCTTGAGTAATGACAATGGATTTGTCTGCTTTTATGTCTTGAAGTGCTTTTAGTTCCTCTTTCGTTATATTTGGTTTTTCTGCTTTTTGCTTTTTTAATGTAAGTGCACATTGTGCTCGTACCAGTTCAGCTTTTTGCTTGTCATATCCTTCGAGTGCTGTTTCAATTACAGGTATGATGTCTTCAGGTTTTAATCTTTTGTTGCTGATATTGAAGTTCATCCCTTTCATCAGTACACTTTCCTCTGCTTCTGTTGGCTTTCTGTCTGAAAAGTTTACAATCCAATTGGCTTTAGTTACTTGTCTGTCATTCGGAGTTTTTGCTATCATGAGTTTATTAAATTTTTTGATTTGTTTCTCCTTTGTTTTTTCATAAGTGGTTTCTTTTCGTTTTTGTGCAACTTGTAGTATGTTTTCATACTTTTCTTTTTCAATTACTTCTTTCAATTTTTCTTTTACTTCATTAATATCTTTCCTTATCGTGAATAGCTTTTGTATAATTCCACGTAGGTTTTCTTTGATGCATACTTTTGAGGCATGTATGAGCGCTGCATTTGCTTTATCAGTAGATATTGGTGATTTTAATTTCATGTATACAGGAATAATTCCATTTTTAAGGCATCTGAGGTTGAAAATTCGATGGTTCATAAATCGAGATTCAGCTTGATATAAATGTGTGAGTTTGTTGGCCAGTCTTTTAATGGGAAGACCGTCAGTTGAGTTAATATCAGTAATATATTATATTATATATTAATATTACCAATAACAAAACTTATCATTGTGTGTAAACTATTAAAATATAATTATACTTTATTTGATCTAATCCACAATGCTCAAACTTTTTACTGATATTAAATCAAAATCATCCATCTGAGCTATAAATCTTCTCCATTATAAAGAAATTTTGAAGCATCCTGAAACTCTTTCGTTAACAAACACAATCTAAGTGTACATAAAACTAAGCATTTTCAACATTTCTGATGCATGTAATATGAGTGCTTGAAAAATCCCAGCATTAATGTGGGATTAATACATAAATATATACCGTGTTATTGAACACTTTTTCAACTTCAAACCTAACTACAGTTTATCAAACATACACAAATGACTACCTATACAAATTCCTGTATTCAGTTCGGTTATCAAAGCAAGTGTATACACAGGCTTACACCACACGACTCACTGTTTCAGAATAATCACTAACAGACAGATGCGTAAACCAAAATATACCTTAGCGATAGTTAAACTGGTAGAGCCATCCTTCAGCCTAAGAGGAGTCCTGAGGCCAGTGTCCAGGTACTCTAACTTGCCTTTTCACTACCCAGGGGATTTTCGTTCTAGTGAATTGTTAGAGATGCCCTGATGAAATTACACAGACTACTAAACGGGAATTCAGATCAACAGCAGGTATTATAATTAACTAGACAGCATTGGTAGATATATACATTGCTGGTTTTGGAGTACTTAAAATCATTCCAGTAGGGTGTTGAACAATACATACACTTTAAAAGCATTTCCATACTTGGTCTGAAAATACTGAAATCAAACTTGTATTCAACAGATCGGTTGAGGGAGTAAGACAAGGCTGCTTACGATCGCCAATAATTTTCCTGACTGCAGCAGATAGGATAATGCGACAGACAGTGGCGGGCAACGAGGACACAGGCATAAAAAAACCCACACAAAAAACTTGGAGGATCTGGACTTCGCCGATGATATGTCTGATTTCCCACAAACTGGAAGACATGAAAGCGAAAAGCAACAAGTTGCCAGAAGAAGCATCCAGAAAAGATATGAATTCAGGTGAACATAGAGAAAGCAGAGGTGATGAAGATTCCTGGACAACAGCAACAGCGACAACAACAATCAGCATAAATGTGAGGAAACTGAAAGAAACAACCTCCTTTACCTACCCTTCCTGGGAAGCATCGTTTCAACTACAGGCCAACGGAACTGGCGAGGATATCAAAGCAGGGATCAGGAAAGCAAGACAAGCTTTCATTACTCTCAAGCGTGTGTAGAGGTCAACAGCATTCAGCATGATAACGAATATAAGATCCGGATTTTTAACTCCAATGTGAAGTCAGTCAGTGCTACTATACGGATCAGAGACTTGGCCAGAGCGTCATAAAACAAACTTCAGACCTTCATTAACAGTTGTCTTCGCTCAATACTCAAGATCAGATGGCCAGCCAGAAAAGATCACCAACAGGGATCTCTGGCAATGAGTGAACCAACCAGGAACCGATTGTGAAACAAATAGACAGGAAGGAATGGAGATGGATTGGCAATACGCTGAGGAAACCAGCAAGTGACATCACTAGACAAGCCCTCGAATCGAACCGAAAGGGAAGAGGCGAGTTGGGCGTCTAAGAGTGAATTGGAGAAGGTCATGTGAATAGGAGATGAAAGCACGTAGGCAGACTGGGAGCCAGGTGAAAACTTTAGCAGAGGACCGAACACAATAGAGACATACAGCTGAAGCCCTATGTTCCTCTAGGAATTAAAGGAAATAATAATAATAGATCGATTGATGTTGGAGCATGTGTTATGTATACTGAGACATCAGTTTAATCGACAATCAGTGATAGCAAAAGTACGATTAGCTTCAAGCTTGACCACGTATTGAGGTCAGTCAGAATACCACTAAAAACCAGGGAGTGCTAGGCGAACGCTTCGTCCTGGTTTGGGACTCTTCGTCAGGACGCACCCACCATGTTTCGAAGCGAGGACTATGTGGTTAAAAGACAGGCGAGCTCGTAGGCTATCCAGCCACCGGGAACCGATCCAGTGACCTTTAAATTCCAACTCCTATCAATTAGTGATTTCAGCGTGACCACTAGCCAAAGCCATCTGCGATTATTTCTTCCCACGCCAATGACACCCGCTGGTGGCTGCGCAGTGGTTCTTCAACTGATTTGAATCCGCGATCAAACTTAAGACTTATCAGTTCCCTACAAACTAGTTCTTGAAAATTAAAATACCATTAGGCTAGAAGAGGATAAACCATGAGTGGATGGAAACATGGCAAGAAATATCGCTCCTAACAACCTATGTAGTGATTTGCTGTTAATTTGCATTAGTGTTCATCGTTTTTATTGATCTGGAATCCGACTTTTTTTGTTACATGGCTTATACTTCATTCGTAGATAAATTCTATCTATGATAATGTGGCTAGTGGTCGCGCTATTTCGAATAGGCAGAAGTTAGAATTCATGAGCCATTGGATCGGCTCCCAGTGGCTTAACGGTCTACGAACTCGCTGACCTTGTAACCAGAAGGTCCTGGGTTCGAACCCCGGTGGGTGCGTACCGCTGAAGAGTCCCAAACTAGGGCGAAACAGTCGTCCAGTACTCCCAGGTTTTCCAATGGTTCTCTAAACAGCGTCAGCTCATGATAAAATCCTGTAACCAATCAAATCCCTACAAACCGACACTTGAATATGATAATGTGTGTTGATTCGTGTAAGTAAAAGACCTCTTGGTATTCCCTAGCATTTCTGGTGTTTCCACCGCTTAAAATTGCCGCTATTTCGCAATCAAACTGGTGTCCACAATTGAAAGAATATATGTCGTGTCTTTCGACAGCTAGTTTATGTTCTTGGATTTTGAGTAGCAGGGGACGGTCACTTTGATCAATATAGTGTTTATCACAGTTCATGCAATTTATATTTCATAGAGGGTATTGATCTTGTTTTCTTTTGTGGTTGGGCGGGTCTTTTAGTTTGCATAGTATTCAATAAAGTGATTGTGTTGGTTTTTGAGCTATATGTCTATTCCGAATGGTTTTAGTATTTCCTAGCTGTTATTTGAAAAGCATTATTTATACACGGTAGGGTAAGCATTCACCATTGACTATTCCATAGCATTCAAAAACTGCCATTAAAAATTTAAGAACACAATATTCAGCGAAGAGACTCTTTTCAACGAATTTATTATCAAAATGTACAAACGTTTATAAGACAGGATTACCTCTCCGTCCAATCCTCGATATGGCGCGCTCTCTTTATCATGGAATCGCTCAATGGTTAACCGAAATACTGGAACCGGTTAGAAGGCAAGTATCTAAGTTTTCCATTGATGACACATTTAAATTTATTGATAGCATTAAAGATTTTAATGTCTCAGACAAAGTCCTGTTCTCATTAGATGTGACGTCGCTATTTACCAATGTTCCTCATGGAAACTGTTTGCTATTTATATGATTATATTGATACACATAGTTTAGAAATAGGTTTCCCAACAATCCACCTCAAGGAACTTTTATTGGGATGCAGGTTGAATGTTCAATCCACCTTCAATAATGAGATTCTTAGACAGAGAGATGGCATTGCCATGAGATCACCACTGGGTGCCTTGTTGGCTGATTTTTTATGGCAAAGCTTGAAAATTCTCAACTTAGTCAAACCATCGATCACTTTGACATTTATAAAACATACGTAGACGACACTTTCGTCATCTGCGATGATAACGTAATTCTTGATGATGTCTTGTCTGCTTTCAACAACCACCATCCTTCTTTACAATTCACCATAGAAAAGGAATCCGAACTAAGTATTCCGTTTCTAGATGTGTGCCTTAGCAGACGTAATGACGGACCTCTCAAAAGATCTATCCATCGGAAAAGTACATGGAACGGACAACTAACTAATTTTTACAGTTGGGTGCCATTTCCAGGAAAATGAACCTAATTCATTCGCTCTGCTTTAGGATGAGGAAAATTTGCAGTTCTGATTGCATTGACTCAGAACTTGACTTCTTAAAAGCCACACTGGCAGAAAATGGTTACCCTAACCAATTTATTGACAGCAACATGAAAGATAAGCAGTCTAAACTGGTCACCGACTCGGTTCTAAAGGAAACCTTATTCATGAACTTGGAATTCAAAGGTGATCAAGCTTCAGATATGCTCAAAAATCGTCTCTCTAAATCAGTCAGTCAGACGTTCACCAGCCGCAAATTGTTCTCTACCTCTGTAAAAGATAAGCTCCCCCGTCTGGCCGCCTCCATGTGCACCTACAAGTTCACCTGCTATTGTGTAGCAACGTACATTGGCCGTAGTCAGAGGACGCTCTCCACCACACAAATAGGAGAACATATTCCAGCTTGGTTTTACAAGGGAGAAAGGAAGCGTGTGCGAAGCTCTACTCTAGGACACCTGATCGACTTCTGTCACTCGGTCAACCCTGACCATTATTTCAAGATCATATATAGAACCCATGCAAACTTCCCGCGTTTTCTTCGTTACAGACTTCTAAAGACAGCTGAGGCCTTGGCAATTCATGACTTTAAGCTAGACCTTTGTGTACAAAAATGTATGTACAATCCCTACTTCTGCCTTGGCCGTAGACGGATAGACATTTGTTTATTTTGTCTATTTAGTTATTCTAGGTACCTTTCCCTTATTACTATGATTATTTCTATTATTATTACCATTATTACTATTACTATTCTCACTCTGAATCTTTTCCACTTGACCCACTTGTCATTTTAAACCCAAAATAACAAATTTCTATATTTTTTATTTTTACAATATTGAATTCTATCTCATCAGATTTCACACCATGTTATGTAACATTTTATATTCGTCTACTATTCTTATAATTATGTACCCCTTTCCAAAATCTATACACTTTATGTATTATTCAATATATGACATTAAGTATTTTGCCACTTGACATTTAACTATGATTATAATCACAAATATTTTAGTTACATTTCATACTACTATTATTATTTCACGTATTCACACCTTTGACCTAATTCCCTCACCGGATATAATTTCTTATAAGCAAACCTTATGTATACGATTGTACAGCTTGATAATAAATTCGTTGTTGAAAAGAGTCTCTTCACTGAATATTGTGTTCTTAATTCTACAATGGGAATTATTAAATTATTAAAAATTTACTCACCGATTTACGCACAGATCGTAGGAAACCGGCATTTGATGTAATTGTAAGCGCCTCCAGCGTATTGCCAACTTCCATTATACGCTAAATTAAAAGACAAGTAACAGATAGAACGGGAGTTAAATAATGAGCTAATCACGTCAGCTTTATGTACAAAGTTAACAGCAACATAATATGCATGATGCTATATACTACTGATTTATTGACATGAGTAGTTGTATTGCATGTACTATATAGATGCAGATTGAAAGACAGCGACCAAAAATTGAAATCATTTTTATTCTAATTTGATAGCTGAAGTGGTAGAATCTGGATTTAGTTTACATTGCGGTCTGGAAATAACCTCATTGGACAATTCTTCGTCCTTCAGTTTAATATTGGCCCAGTTCCCAACCAATCAGGAGAGTTTATTGTCCGCCGACTTAGCAGACGTTTAATGTGGCTAAGAATGTTTAAATATGACGTGTCATTCCTTAATAATACAGTCCGTTACCAATCCTCTTATCTTCTGCCGTTACAGTTGCACACCATTCATATCAACAAGTACTGCTTGATTAACCAGCCAGATCGAAGTGATCTGAAACACTGGACGGCAGTTTCCCTCGTTTGGGGTGGAGATCCAGGTACACCACTGATCAGCTCGGCTTCAAACTGTATAAACTGCGAATTGGAAACATGCACGACAGGCTGTTATACTGAGGAGTTGCTCAGGCCAACCTTGATGCAGCAAAGCTAGAACGCGGAATCTGAGTGGGAGACGATGACTTGAGTGTCCGAGGGTAACACACGGATTATGTGAAAAGAGAATAATAGGCTTATGGGTGACCGTAGAGTCAAATGAACACTACTTTACAGGACACGGTAATATGGAGATGTGTTGCCAAAGTCCTATATTCTACTGGGAATGCAAGGGAATAATAATCAGAACCTACAAAGCTATGACTTTTAGATACGCTGGCGAACATTTGCAGATTAGATGGATGACATTGGTATGGATGGTTTCTGTATGCTGGAAGATTTAGTTGAGTAACCTTTTGTTGTCTTCCTGGACAATACATCTTCAGTGTAGACTTAGATATAAAGTGAGGTTTCAAAAAAATCACGTGGATAAAAATTCAAAAAAAATAACCAGTACCAACGCACGTGAACTAGGGAGTGAGAGAGAGAGAAACAGTATTTACAGACGCCCAATCAATTCCCAGGTTACCGGGAGAGATGGCTGATAAACTCATGCAGAATTCAAAAAAAAACTCATTTTAAACTGAAGAATGCACTGAAGATGTTATCTAGAAACACAGTGATAAAACAACAGATTGAGAGAAGAAATATGCATTCCTTTTCAATTAGTTCCTCATCATCGGCTGGCTCTACACTAATATATAGTCGACTTTTACATCAAAATGTTTTTACCAATCAAGTAGTTATTTCACTTAATCACTTTTAGGTATACAAGATTACATCATGAGCTGACATTAGTGAGAGAACCATTGAAAAACCAGCTGGGAGTACTGGACAGCGCCCGGTGGGTGCGTACTGATGAAGAGTCCCAAACTAAGACGAAACAGCTGCCAAGTACTCTCAGGTTTTCCAATGGTTCTCTTACTAATGTCATCTGATGATGAAATCCTGTAACCAATCAAATCCCTACAAACCAACACTTTTATGTATAGACGAGGGTGAAATCCAGAAGTTAAAGGTCATCAAAGCAAATAACTAATAGATGTTAGTAACAAGAGGGGTGAAAACTGACTAATTACGGAATTCAAGATAAATTGATTTGTAGGCGCTGGTAACAAGTTATTACATAATCAAGAAATCTGTAAAGTTGTAATGATGACCAATAAGAATAGGATAACTCAGAAGAATTACGTAAAATACAAAAAAGTCAATAGAGTTATCTGGAATTGTAAAAATCAATAAAGTCAAAAGATATTTAGAAGAGGAGGGTAAAAAACTCGTTTTTAAAAACTTAATACATATTGTGTGGTTGGCCATGGCAAAGAAAGGGGCTGTACAAATTTATTTTGAACATACATATATGGCTTGTTCAGATGAATTCTGATTGCCTCTGCTGTATGTAAAAGTCGTACTCGTAGACGATGTGGCGAGAGGTTGAGTGATATACGATAAATAACTTTAAAAGCTTTGTTAGAGTCAATTTGACTTCCAGTATCGACGAGATGAGGTAGTATTGAGCTGAGTTTAGCTTTATTCGGACGTTTGACAAACTAAGATGGGAGGTGTTCAGAAATTCGACGATGAACTTGCCTGATCGTACGCCCTATATAACTAGCTATGCACGGGCAGTTAAACTGGGAAATACACATGGAAGAGGTGAAACACGGCTTCGCAACTACACCATCCCAACTCCGATGACATAACTACAAGGGTCATGACATTATATAGTATAAAAATTTAAACAAATAAACATAAACGTGACATTTTGTACAACAACGTTCGTGCGAATCTAGTTGGAATCGAAAAATCTACAATGAGCCGTACAAAGTATGTTCTCTAAGTGGAACAACAAAGCTGAAGGCTTGAAACTTTGAAGTCACAGTAGCCGTTTTCACAGGGTAAGGGGTTCCTAGCCTCTCATACCCAACCTTCCCTACACTTTCCAAACTTATTGTCACCTTGTAAACTAGTCGAGGTTTAGGCGGAATGCGTCAGTAGGGAATCAGACCCCCGACCAAGTGTGGTGTGACTGGTGGGCATTCTGCCAGTAGACTGACCACTGACGCAGGCTATACTACCTACTATATAAGTGAAATAGGGAATATGAAAAATGCTTACCTGTGTTAATAAATAATTATTAGTATTTCTAGATTCTTTTGGTTTTCCAAATGGAGGTATTACTTTACCACAAGCATCTAAATCTGGTATTACAACTAGTCGACTAATCAACTGGATTGCACGTTTCCATTCACCTGGTCCAGAGATTAATGAAACAATCTTCAGAAAGGAATGTACAGCACTGAGACAAACAATTGGAACTTTACCTTTAGACAAAATAAAAAGGATAAACAAAACACAAATTAAAAAAAGAGGGCATCAATGTAGCCAAAATTCTCATTCAGACATTTATAAGACAAAAGAAAGTTCGAGCAAAGAATATTCTTTTCGATATATTCATTGTTCGGTTCAACAGTTATACACATATTAGTATAAGCACTCAAAATACAATGCACGAAGAAAAGATTCCTAGTTACCAGGGTGGTAGTGAGAGATTAGTCAAAACATCTTTCCGTATGTATACGTTGGGTCGAAGTCTTTTGATGGCAATGACTTCTGTGAACCGAAGAACCCATGCTCTTCTTCATGTGTGGATTATTTTGAAAGCGTGACTAATTTCCACTGTATGTCCCGTGTCAATTAGGGGTCTGCGGTTGCAGTTGAGAATAATTTGCTACCTTTCAAACGGAGACTTTTACGAATATGCTCGGAATCTAGTAGACGCCCTCCTGAAGTCTTCACCATAATATATATAAAGTAACTCTGTTGTTCTATTTTATATTTTGTCTCTAGTCCATCCATGTTTTCAAGCAAAATCTGAATTCTACACGCTGGTCTAATTACTGTATAAATAGTTACTCTTTTAACACCAAATAATTGTCTACCTACTTAAACCATCTTTGAAATTATGTTGTTTATACTCTCGATCTATAACTTGAAATCATTCTGGAAAACGTATGTTCAGACACCATTTTGTAACATATGATTTATTTAGGATGTACGCAGTTGAAGAGAAACAATCCACGAAATAAAACAACAAGTTTGTATGATCCTGTCTGCAAATATGTTCTTTCTTTATTCAAACTAAAGACAGTTAAAACACTGATGGTTAGGGTAAGAAAAGCGTCTGGACTAGCTTCTTCTGAAACACATAAGTTAGATATCTTAATATGAATTGTGATTTCTTCAGCAATATGTAATAGACAAACTCTTGGAGCAAAATTAAGATTAGTCGGAATATGGTAGGTAACTTAGAAAGTATTTGGTTCACCGACCAAGAGTAATCTGCTCTGATGCATGTCTTAATAAAGACATTAAGCAATTACTGAGTGAAAATGGTTACCCGGAGAATTTTATTGACAACAACATAAATCTTAAGTCATGACAAGCTAAAGTAACAACAATTTCGAAAAAGACTTTGCTCTTATACCTTCATTTCCTAGGCAATATTTCCGGTGACATAATAACATAACGCTTAAGTGGTGCGATAAAAAAAAGCATTCATTACCGATGAAGTACGCTGTCTCTTAACGATCGCTCCTATTTTACACTCAGCAGTTGAATGTAAACTGTCTAATTTTGCCTTTTTCATGAGTACCTATCAATTTGACTGCTCATAGGGAACCAGTGGCGTCCATTCGGTCGGGAGCGAGAACAAATACTCGCCGATGGCATTGGCTGGTACAAGTCACACTGAAATCTCGAAATGGTAGACGTTAGAATTCATGGGCCACTAGATAAGATCCCAGTGACTAATTGTTAACCAGCTCGCCTGATAACCGGAAGGTTTTGGATCCTAACTCCAGCGAGTGAGCACTGCCAATGAGTCCCGAATTAGGACAAAACAGTAGCCCATTAATCCCTGGTGGTTTGTAGTGGTCCTCTAACCGATATCAATTCGTGGTAAAACTCGAAATAATATCATAATATCGAATTTTAAACCACACCCATTGAGTATACAGAAGACGGTGAAAGTTGACGCTACTCACGCATGAAGTTAAATAATAGTCGACACATACACACACACAAATACTCAAAATGAAAAATGTTGTAGTTAATTTAAAATACAATATTAATTATTAACATAATTAGGTACATATAAATAAATAAATATTCGATTATGGATTATATGTATATCGTAACGAAAGTTTTTAATTACGATTAGAAATATTTGACATAAGCATGAATCGTCTAATGTCTCACTGAAGTTGGACTAGATTCTAGTGTAAGAAAGTGTATACGATTACAGGGGTCACAATTTTTGTAAAAACTCGTAAATGCCGTTCGTCATAGGCAATTAAAACTGTCTGATATTACCTTGTGAACCACACTTAGCGTGTGTATGTATATGAAGGCTTACCATACTGCCAAGCCACATAAGTCAAGTATGAATGGAGTGTCACGGAGATCCAGATAATTCGACGGTTAAAAATAGGCAAGTTTCATAAATACTAAGGCTCGTCACAACACCTACATCTCTGAAAATAAACCGATAACAGTTAAGGGAACTAATATCTTGTCTTCTATCGGTTTATTGAGCTTCGGGTGCTTTTGGAAGTGCATGGGTGGTTGCTACTTCTCGGCTGCCCACACCGAAGAAGTTGATTGATTCTTCGGGTACCTGAAACAGAAAGGATTAGTGTTGCGTGACCGCAGAGCCCAGGGGACAACTGCTTGAGACTGTTCACACACGGCATGTATGAACTGGTTTCTTGGATTGGTTCAGTATTGGTAAATTTACCACTGGCTACGATCACCGTAGGGTAAGTCGGGATGTACAATTTTCGGGGTCGACCTTTTCTAACCCCCTTTTCCCTCTGGAGTGGAAAGACAGTGTGGCTGGCATGTTGGGCATCCGAGGGAAACACCTTACTGTTGTTACATACTTGCTCCCCAGCAGTACGACTTCGCTTTTAGTCTAATCACTAACCTAACAACCTTCCTGGCAATGTAGAACCTGCAGGGAAAATAGTACCAGCCAGTGTAGTTTGTTGGGTCACTGTGATATGCAAGACCGACCACCACATCAAAGTGGTAGCAATCTGTCGATTTATTTGAAGAAATCACTGATTATGGCCTCCTTCATCAAGCCAGTCCATCGTCTCAACTGCTGCAGCTGAATAGAATATTTCCACATTAAGTCATAAGGAAAAAGATGTAAATAGGCAATTCGTGCCTCAAGTACAAAAGATAATTAGATGAAACTTTTATAATTTGTGATGAAACAATTTGATCTAGACTATCTCCACAACACTTTCAACGCCACAAAAGCACACCCTTCAATAAAATCCACCCTAAGACGTGAATCGTAGATGGCATTTTCATTCCTGGATATGCTACTTACTAGAAGTACAAGACTATTCCATCCAAAGATTGATATACCACAAGGCAACGCGGATAGGGTAGTTTATTGACCTCCACAGCTTCATCCCATTGATCCAAAAGCATAACTTACTGCATAACTAGTGTTTAAGGATTCGAAGATACAATAGAGACTGAATTAAAATCACACTGAGTGATATCCAACTGGAAAATGGATATCTACCCAGATCTGTTGACAAAAACATGAAAGAAAACCCTGTCGCTGAAAGTTGAAACCACTCCCAAAAAAACTCTCTTCACACTGAACCTAGAATTCAAACGTAACATCGGAGCGGAAATTCTTACGAAATACTTCTCTAGATGTTTGAAGAAGACATTTCAGGCAACCACCACCTTACGAATTACATTCTCCAGTAGACAGTTAATCAAGTCAAGCACGTTGAGGAAAAGATACCGCTTTTGGCCACTTTAGTGTATAATTATGAGTTTACTTGTTCCTGGGGAGCAACGTACACAACGTCAAGTCATGTTTTGCTTTTTACGTTATTTCAACTTCTTACTCCTTTTTAAAATCTCCAATTAGTCATTCCCTTCCAAATTGCAACTCGTATTACGTAATACATTTTCTAGAGCGAATTTGCCAGTATCTGATTGGTTTTATGAATTCTTTGTCGCATATAAAATACGACTGTACTGCTCTTGAAAATAATTAATCGAGGAGAAAATTCTATTTTTCAGCTGCACTTCTTTGGTCAGCTTTGGCTCTTCGACCCATAGCGAAAGATGGATGTGAGAGGTTTAGCATTTGATTATCTGAAATCTCCATCCAAGGGTAGAGACTGAGAGGTACTTCTCAGCTTTAGTCTTGTACGCCAGTTACTTACAGAATCAGGAATAACGACTGGTTCTCTGAACACAAGGCACAGTGATTTATCGACAGTGGAAAGCTTGATTACACTCAGTAATTTAGAACTGCCTGTGTTTATTTCTTCTGAACGAAGTGTACAGCTTTTTTCCAAATTTAACTGTCAAAATCTAGCAACTGGCCCTATTCAGGCAGTCAACCTGGGGTTCCATTGGGAAGCTGTGATCAGTAGGGTACAGCAAGTTGAAGGTGAGCCACTAGCTCATCGAAGAAGACATTGCAAAGTGGTCATGCTATGTCATGAATTGGCAGAAGTTAGAATCCATGGGCTGGTCATTGGATCGGGTCCCAGTGGCTTAATGGTCTACGAGCTCGGTAGCCTTGTAACCAGAAGGTCATGGATTCGAACCCTGGTGGTGTTTGCGTATTGCTGAAGAGTCCCAAACTAGGCTGACGAAACAGCTGTCCAGTACTCCCTGGTGGTTTTCCAATGGTTTTCCAACTGATGTCAGCTCGTGATGAAATCCTCCGACCAAACAAATCTAGTAAAACGCGCATGGGGCTCGTGAAATGCGCCTATTAACAACTCGGCTGCAGAATCCACTGTAGCAACATGCTACTCAAAATCTCCAGTCCAACAATATTTGATATCGAAACAGCAGTCTAACAGTATGATTCCTCAGTGAGTAGGAACACTGTTCTTGGATGGAAAAAACAAAAGAGTAGGGGCGTTCGAACAGTAAAAAATGAAAGATTCCTCTTCATGGCATCGTATGAAGATATTCAATTGCAACACTTAATGCAGGTGCTCCATTTCAATCTGAAAATATTGTCTTTACAGTGGTAGGACGCCCACCAGGCCCGACTTCGATTCCCAGCCGATTCATTCCTAAACACCACTTAGCCTATAACAAGCCCAGAAAAGACGGAAGATTGGGCATGAAGTCAACAATCCCACCACTACCACCCGAGTATCAACAGCTCAAAGCCAAGAGCTTGTGTCAACGAGCTACATCTCCATACGTATTCACGTATAAGCTCGTGAGTGAAAGACATTAACCAGTCGAAAACTTAAATCAATAGAACCAATGACTCTAAGGACTAATACAATGTACTAAGTAAAATTTACACGTGAGCCAAATGTCTGGACCAACACAGAAGCACTTGCCTGATATCAATGTTGAGAATTCGGATCATGTTGATTGCGCTGTGTTCTGTAGATCTCTAAATCGATTTCAGAATAATGAAAGCCTATCTTCTTTTCCTGATCTTGGCTGGTCTTTACATCCGCATTCGTGCACAGTCTGCCTGTAGTTGAAACTATGAGGCCTAGGTTAGGGAGGTGAAAGAGACAGCTGACCTTAGATTTCTCCCAATGTTATTGGTTGGATATCTTCATCACCTCTGTCTTCTCTATGTTCACATGAATTCCTGTATTATATACAAAAGAACAAGAAGTTCAGCAAAGATGGCGATCTTTTCGGCGATTTCATTCTCAAAAGCAGCTGTACAATCACATTTATATAGATTAGTTCACATGGATACAATTATTGTTTGTTTAATTAATTCCACATGGTAACGAAGGTGATAATAATTTTCAACTTGATATGAAAGTTTGAAGGTACGAATATAGATTACAAGGGGCTTAGAGACAAGATTTCATAGGATTAGAAAATAGTTACAACGTATGCAAAAATTAATACTTGATAACTGGAGAAATAATTTTAAGTCAAATAGAAGGTGATAATTGTTTTCAACTTGATATGAATTACAAGAGGCTTAGAGACAAAAATTACGCAGGGATAGAACGAATTACAGGTGTGAACAAAATGAGCATGGAAACAAATTGAAATCAAAATTTTCAACTTGAAATGTAAATTAGGAGGTGTGAATCTAGATTACAAGAGGCATAGAAACAAAAAAATTACACAGGATTCGAATATAATTGTAAAATGGTTATTCTAAACGGATTACAAGTATGATCAGGAGGAGCATGGAAACAAACTTAAAATAACTGATTTTATAACTGAAAAAATGGGATGAATTGAATGAAGGCAAAGAAAGAGAAAATTACACACACAGATAACAAAACAAACAACTGAAGGATAAGGGAACATACCAAACTAGGATCATGGTAGCTGTAAAGGCTGGACTAGTTCCTTTTGAACACATAGCTCCGGCTTTTCGATGCATATGGTGAGAGCTTCCGCATTCATTCAAGTCATCCCATTTTTTCAGTTATAAAATCAGTTATTTTAAGTTTGTTTCCATGCTCCTCCTGATCATACTTGTAATCCGTTTAGAATAACCATTTTACAATTATATTCGAATCCTGTGTAATTTTTTTGTTTCTATGCCTCTTGTAATCTAGATTCACACCTCCTAATTTACATTTCAAGTTGAAAATTTTGATTTCAATTTGTTTCCATGCTCATTTTGTTCACACCTGTAATTCGTTCTATCCCTGCGTAATTTTTGTCTCTAAGCCTCTTGTAATTCATATCAAGTTGAAAACAATTATCACCTTCTATTTGACTTAAAATTATTTCTCCAGTTATCAAGTATTAATTTTTGCATACGTTGTAACTATTTTCTAATCCTATGAAATCTTGTCTCTAAGCCCCTTGTAATCTATATTCGTACCTTCAAACTTTCATATCAAGTTGAAAATTATTATCACCTTCGTTACCATGTGGAATTAATTAAACAAACAATAATTGTATCCATGTGAACTAATCTATATAAATGTGATTGTACAGCTGCTTTTGAGAATGAAATCGCCGAAAAGATCGCCATCTTTGCTGAACTTCTTGTTCTTTTCTACCTAAAATTCCTGTATTAGTTATCTCTTCTGAAAATTTGTTGCTTTTCGCTTGTAAATCTTCGAGTTTATGCGACATTGCAATCCGGATCTTCTAGAGTCTTTTTGTCAATCCAACTCCACACAGCTTGTTGCATGATCCAATTTACACACAATCAGGAAGATCATGGGTAACAACAACAGACAGCGTCGTCTTACTCGCATTTTCACTTTGAACGCTTTGGTGTGCTTTGCATTGTGAATCACTTGGCATGATGCACTAAAATACAGCGATTCTTTGTAATGCTGTGACGAAGTAAACAATAGCACAAAACATGTGACTACAAAATACAAACAAACAAAACAGACGATATCATTTTTACCTCGAAGATATTTGTCCAGTGAAAGTAGGACAGGAACTTCAGCTTCCGAGGCGATAAGCCATTCAAATTTACTCGGCTTCAATGGAGGATGACGCAGTAGTTGACTTCGTCTTTCAGTAGATTGTAAACATTCTAAAATTTTGCAAGAAATCGATTCTTCACTGTCAGTTTGTTGTTGATTAGAAGAAGGAGAATATGTTGGATTGAACTGAGATAACTCTGACACAAAAGCGATTAAAGCTGAAACGTCTAAATTGATTCGTTTTAATTCATCTATACTGGAAAGTAAGAAGAAATAAAGTTGCATAAACAACACATGTCAGTAAGCCGACTACATTTTTTTAAAAACTGGCGTCTGTTAACCACTAAGAAGCAAGGACTTCGACACAATACTTTGTTTCAGTTACACAGTCGGATCCCTTGGTCCAAGTTAGCCGACGCACGCCAGAGACTGGAAGTACAGCCGACTGAAACAACGCAGGGCAAGTCTATGCGCGTTGCTAGACAAACAACAATAACAGCTGAAACAGCCCACAACCGATCAGCAATCTGACAACTGAAGCAGCTTAGCTTAAGACCATTCGACAAGGATCACTGACTAATTTCTATTCACCGATAATCCCCATTTAGGCATTAATGAAAACAAAACACGTAGATCAGTGAAGAGACTCTCTTCTCCGAGAAGAACATTCTTTGCAGCAACGCTAAGAATAGTGTTCTCCAGTCGCCCACTGATCTGCAGAAGCCTCAAGGACAAGATCCCGCATCTGACCACTTCTATGTGCATATATCAGTTTATCTGCTGCTGTGAAGCCAGATATGTCGGTCGTTCGACGCGCATCCTGTCCAAGAGGATTCAAGAACACTATCCAGCCAGCATGGTTTCGAAAAGGCAATAGTGGTGCAATAAGGAGTGCGATAATTGAACACCTGGTTAACACTGATCATTCCATTTCAACAAACGCCTCCTTCAAAGTAATCTACAGAGTCAACATTAACCTCTCAAAGGAAATACGGTTTCGTCATCTTTGTACCGCTGAAGCTCTGGCAAATCACATAGAAAAAGCCGGAGCTGTGTATACAAAAGAGAATTACTCAACCCCTTCTACTGTCATGGTAACAACTTTTTTGATTTGATTTTTTATTTTTATTTTGATGACTTAATTTTGTTTCTTTGTCTGTTCTTTCATTAAGAACACAATTTTCAGCGAAGAGACTCTTTTCAACGAATTTATTATCAAGCTGTACAATCGTATATATATGGTTTTATAAAGAAATTATATCCGGTGAGGGAATTAGGTCAAAGTTGTAAATACATGAAATAATAATAGTATGAAATAAATTTAAAATATTTGTGATAAGGTTCATAGTTTAAGTCAAGTGGAACAATAATTAATGTCATATATAAGATAATACATCGGGTGTATAGATTTTGGGGAGAGGCATATAATTGTAAGATTAATAGACGAATGTAAAATGTTACGTAATATGGTGTGAAATTTGATAACATAGAATTTAATATTGTAAAAATAAAGATAAAAAGTATACACATGAATAATTTTTGGTTTAAAATGTCGAGTAGATCAAGTGGAAAAGATTCAGAATGACAGTCGTAATAATAATAATAATGATAATAATAATAATAATCGAAGTAATAAGGGAAAAGTACATAAAATAATAAAAAAATAATAAAAAAAAATAAAATAAAATAAATGTCTATCCCTCTACGGCCAAGGCAGCAGTAGGGATTGTACATACTTCTTTTGTACACAAAGGTCTGGCTTAAAGTCATGAATTGCCAAGGCCTCAGCTGTCTTTAGAAGTCTGTAACGAAGAAAGCGCGGGAAGTTGGCATGAATCCTGTATAAGACCTTGAAATCATGGTCAGGGTTGACCGAGTGACAAGAGTCGATGAGGTGTTCTAAGATAGAACTTCGCACACATTTCCTTTCTCCTTTGTAAAACCAAGCTGGAATATGTTCTTATCTTATATATGACATTAATTATTGTTCCACTTGACTTAAACTATGAACCTTATCACAAATATTTTAAATTTATTTCATACTATTATTATTTCATGTATTTACAACTTTGACCTAATTCCCTCACCGGATATAATTTCTTTATAAAACCATATATATACGATTGTACAGCTTGATAATAAATTCGTTGAAAAGAGTCTCTTCGCTGAAAATTGTGTTCTTAATGCTACAATGGGAATTATTAAATTATTGGAAAAAATGTTCTTTAATTGCTTAGAATTCTTGTATTCATTTACAAATCTTACGTAATTTGTCTACTCTACTTTGTTTTTATGTGCATCCTGAGCAAAACTCAATCATCAAATTATTCATATTATTACATAACTTCTTTTAACAACTGTTTTTGACAACTCATCATCTTTGTTACTACCCTAATTTCATTAACACTTAATTTTCTTGACTGATTTTGTATTACGTAACTCCAAATACCAATCTTCACCTGTTTAGTTAGAATATCCATAACCAATTGTAATTTTGTTTGACAAACAATGTACACATACATACAAAAAAATGCATATATATATTTGCGATTGTACAGCTAAGAAAATGAATTCGCCGAAAAGAGACTCTTCGCTGACCTACGTGTTTTGTTTTCATTAATTTCTATTCAATTTAGAACAGTCTGATTGTGACATGTGACCAGCACGGAAACAGTGTGATTTCATCAGCATATTTAACAAAGTTGGTTTCATCATAATGAGCTGCAAGTGTCATGCAAGAGGAAAGAACAGCACCACCAATGAGACACCGGCTAGCTACATTGAGTAAAGCAGTGGAAGACTAATTTCACTATGCAGATAAGATTTTATTTTGATAAATCACAGTGTTGTTATACAGTAATATTAACTGATGACCACGCTTCGAGCACGAACTATTGCTTATAATCATATCGAGTCACTCACACAGCTTTTTACTTCATTCATATACACATGAGCGAAATTGATGATCAGACATTTGCATAAAAATCAATATAAGATAATGCAAATTCAGAAATAATAATATTAGTGTTATCAGTCAAATACAATCAGATGGGAAATAAGACGAGTGTTTTTATAGTCAAAATAAGTAACTTGTTAGAATGTTATAATGTATGTGAATTGAAACAGAATTTTAACTTTATTCATTATCCTCTGATTTGATCGGTGGTTATAATATCTTCCATATCTCTGGTATTTGCGTTGAGGCATTTCTGTTGCATGTGTTGGGTGTAGACTCGATGAACCAGAATTCAGTAATCAACCTTTCCCTTTCCATACCTACCTATATTACTTTTTAGAATTTTAACCCTGCCCCACCCACCCTATTGTGTAATTGTGTGTTAATGCATGCAGTGAGATTGCTGAGTTTTTCTCTAAATTACTTATCTTCGTAGGATCAATTATTCTAACCTTAGCTAAATTATTATGTTCTGATAATCTCACTACTCCTGATCTGTCTATGTAGTTGACCTCACTCACAGTCACTGCATGGTAATTTGTAAATTATTTTGTTTAATTGGTTCAACTGGGTCTTTTAGTCTAGGTTTGTGAGTTGGTAGGTTTGAATGCCACCCTAATTCCTGCTTTATTGGGAGTCCTACGTAGGGCGTCAGATGTCCCCTCCTTATGTGGTATAACTGTAGATGCCTTATATTCTTTCTTATTTATGTTATCACTATTAGTTTCACCATTATTTTTATTTTGCTTTTGACCTTTTTTATATTCCTAGTGAATTTTATAGGATAGTTATTCAACACCAACACTTCTTCTACCTGTTTTATTTCATCATTTAGGTCTTTTCTTGTACTACTTAGTGCTACCGGTCAGTTTGTTAGACACTTAACTAAGCCTGCTTTAACATATAACGAATGAGATGAATTAAAGTCCAAATATCTATTAGCAGAATATGTTGGTTTTCTGTACACACTAATGTTTTATTCGTTTTATTTTACAACCTAACATAGCTAATTCTCCCTTCTCATTTTCCGATTCAAATGTGAATTGTATTCACCCTAATAGTGAGTTTAAATGTGTCAAGAAGCTAGAGATATTTTCTATTTTTAACACTGCGATGGAAAGTATCATCCACACATCTCCACCATACTTCTGGAGTAGGATTAAAAGTTGTGTTAAGAGTAATATTTTCTCAGCTGTCCATAAATATATTTGCTACAATAGGGGATATTGGCGACCCCGACTCTACACCATCTGTTTCTTTATACATTTTGCCCTGGAATTTAAAGATAGTAGATGTGAGGTGTAACTGAATTCCTAAAATAATTTTCTAAATGGGTAGCTTTGCTTTACGACTATGTTTGGGATCAGAAGTTAATTTCCTTTTAGCCGCTTCCACGGCCATATTGATTAGTATATTAGTGTAAAGACTAGTTACATCAAAACTAAACATTTTTTTTCGTTATTTTCTAATTGAATGTTATTTAGTTTCCTTTTCATTTCATATGAATTAGTTAGCCTAGAGTTGGAATGACTTCTAATGGGACATAGTATTAGAGCTAGGTGTTTTGATAATTCATAAGTAGGGGAATTTCTGAAATCCACTATTGGTCTTATGTGGTAACCTGGCTTATGTATTTTCATAGTATTGTATATTCTACTAGCGTTACTATATTTTTAAGCATTAAATTAAACCATTTAGACTCACCCAATGACAACCTCATACTACGTATTAACTCCGCTGAAGATTTCTTAATCGTATTCATTATTGTATCAACAGGCTTGTTAATTTCCTCATATGGACCCGTTTCAATTTGTTCAGTGACTTTCCTTACATAATCAGACTACTTTCCTTTATACAAAAACAAAGTGTACTGCTTCCTATCAGAATGTTTTAGAAAACATGTAATACAACACACACATACACACACACACAAGAAGAAGAAGAAGACAAACTCACTGATTATATGAATCAGATGAAAATGACCATAATGCAGATCGTTGTAGAACAGCATCCATTGGAGTATGCATTTCAATTCTGCTATTTAACAAGTCATTCTCTTCCACGGGTAACATTTCATCAATTATCACAGATTTATTATTATGACTATTATCATTAGCACTGGACATTTTATCAAACAGGCTAAATATTTGTTGAATTGAATCATATTTAAATTGTTTGAAATCATTAGACTCATTGTGTTGAATAAATTGATTTAAAAATTGTCGAACTTTACGTAGCGGTAACATGATGTCTTTAAGCGATACGGCATAAGCAAACGGTTTCATTGAAGAAGATATCGATGACGAGGACATACTGCTATCACCGATCCATGGATTACAACCGGTGAGCAGTGTAACTCCAATATCTTCGAGGTATTCACGTAAATCTCCATCCAAATCAGTGATTTTGCTATTAGTACAAGATGGTGACTGAGGCAACCAATGAACTATAACTCGAATCCAATGCTGTGGTTGACCACGTTGATACCAATGTGAGGCAATGACTAACTCTTCAGCTTGACGTCCTAAACACGCTGCATGCTTCGAAGAGGCTTCACCTACAATAGAATTAAGTGTGTTTCTTTGGGTAACGTCTAATGAATGAGATAACAGACACCAGAGTAACAAAAAAAAACAATTAAAATATATGGAACAGAAAATAACTGAGGAAAGAATATCTTTTCCGATAATTTCCTCTTCTGGCTCTACAATTATACACATATGTTTATATGCATAGAATATTCGACGTTAGTAGTCAATAACAATATTAGTGTGTTTTTTAAATAATATCAATTTAACTGCTCCTGTGGAGACAGTTACATAGCCCGTACAATTAGGCGTGTTTCTCGTTGAACTTCCGAACATAACTCTGCGTGGTTGGTTAAGTAAAGGACAGACAAGATCTATTCGCAGCGCTATTCTATCTTATCTTGTGGATATAGAACACAAGATTGATGTTAACCAGACTTTCAGGGTCATTTACCGTATACCAACATATCTCAATTTCGCCCTAAGAGTTCGACTACTAAATATTGCTGAGGCTATTGGGATTCACATTAAGAAGCCTAATTTATGTGTCCAAAAGAAGCTAGTTCAGACATTATCCTTACCTTGGCCATCTAGGTTTGAATGATCCCCAATTTCCTCTAGAAATTTCCTTCATTTTAGGTGATATTCTATTTGCTATATTTTTATTAATTATTCTAATTTAAGGATATTTAATGAACTGTAATTCCGTTGTGATCTTACTTAACAAATCAATATTATTTTAAAAACACTAATATTGTTATTGACTACTAATGTCGAATATTCTATGGATATAAACATATAAATATATATGCTCAATTATTTTGTGTTTTATAGACGTTTGAATGAGTTTTTTTCCGCAATAGTAAAATATAGTTTGAATAAACCATCCTTTTAATCACTGTACAAACTACCACACCGATTTCCGATAAAAGATAGTTGGTAAAAAGTATTGAGAGTCAGTGGTGCGGCAGTGGAATACTGTTCGCCAACCACGCCACACGTGTTCCCCCGTACCATTCTCCAAACCAAAAGCACTCCTACACCTCGATTATTACCTAGCATAGAACACGATTTAAGCAGATAAGTATTTTTAGTAAATTCTCTTTGGGCTTTACATTTATATAATGAAATATTAGTCATAGACACTTGAATTAATTTGGTTAATAAAATATAGAATCAGAGTTCAGGAATGTGAATGAATGGATAACAATCGAGGTGATCACAATAATAATAGTAATACCAAGGATAAATTCATTCAAGTGTTTATATATTCTGGGCAATGGCTGAGTGTATAGGTAGAATGTGCATACTAGTTTCAGTTTAACAATGAACTTTACCGTCAAGTGGAGGGTGTAACAATGGACTCTCCTCTGGGTCTTCTCTTAGCCGATATGTTTATGGCAATATTAGATAATCGTCCACTCAAAAACGTGATCAATGAAATCTCGTTCTACTGTAGACATATATACATATGGATGATACTTTTATCTTGCCTAATAATAAAATCGATGCCAAGGTCCTTCTGCAAATGTTCAGTAAGGTTCACCCACAAATTGAATTCACATATGAAAAGCAGAGAGACAACACTCTATCATTTCTCGATGTCCTGGTAAGAAGGAGGCAAGATGGCAGTATTAATTAAGAGGGGGATTTTACGGAAGAAGTCATGGGTTGGACGATATAGCCATTTCAAGTCGTTTGTCCCTCTTGTATACAAACAAAATCTTATCAGCACCCTGATGTACCCTGCTAGAAAAATCTGCACAACCGACACTCTTGCCGATGAAATAAGCAAAATAGAAAACTTATTATGTGAGAATGAATACTCCGAAAAATTTGTTAAAGTCTCCAAGAGGAGGATACAGAGAAAGAAATGCCTGCGAACTGTGAAGAAGGAGCACATGTTCATGACTTCACGGCTAAAATGAGACGAAGCAACTGAATTGCTGGCATCGAAACTTTGAAAAATAATAACTGAAACACTCTTTGCCGGAACACTGCGTTTAAAATTAGCCAATTGTTGTATAATTCCAATGTAGGTAAAAGATAGGCTACCGAGTCTGGCCATGTCAATGTGCATTTATAAATCTGACTGTTCATGTGAAGACAGTAACATAAGTAGAACGACTCAGCAAGCCCACGATAGCCTTCACGGGAATTTTCCAACGTAGTCAGGTAGATAAGTTGTAAAGTCAATCAGAAGTCCCATACTGGTACACCTACTGAATACGGAGCACAAGATTAACAGAAATTCAGCTTTTACAATTCTATACAAGATGCCACATCAACTCCCTAGGTTGGAATGTCTTCGGTTGCTAAGTGTAGCTGAGACAGTTGCTATAATGATGATCTGACCAAATACCTGTTTTCACGAAAAGCTTGTTCAATCTCCCTCCCTCTCTTGGCCTTCACCCCCAACCCAAAACAGTTATCTCTCACGGTGACACCGGATAGGTGTAAATATTATCTTATTATGTTTTTATTTTATTTGTAAAGCTAACTGTATTATCAATATCATGCTGTGCTGTAGTTGTACATTTTATTCTCCCTTTAACAATTTATCACCATTATTATTATGATAACATCTAGTCGCTATGTGACGATGGTTATTTTTCCCCTCTACCTCACACAAGTATGCACATTCTACCTATACACTCACCATCGCCTAGATTATATAAACACTTGAATGAATTTACCCTCGTTATTATTACTGTTATGATCACCTCGATTGTTATCCGTTAACTCACATCCCTGCACTCTGATCCTCTATATTTTATTAACCATATTAATTCGGATGCCTATGTCCAATATTTCATTATGTTCAAGTGTTGGTTTGTAGGGATTTGGTTGATTGGTTACAGGATTTCATCATGAGCTGACAATAGTTAGAGAACCATTGGAAAACCAGGTGAAAGTAATGGACAGCTGTTTCGTCCTAGTTTGGGACTCTTCATCAGTACGTACCCAGCACAGGGGTTCGGACCCAGGACCTTCTGGTTACAAGGCTAGCGAGCCCGTATACCATTAAGCCACTGGGACCCGGTCCAATGGGCCAGTCCATGAATTCTAGCTTCTGCTAATTCACGACCTAGCGCAACCCCTAGCCAATGTCTTCGGCAAGTATTTGCCCTCACAGGCGACCTGCTGCACCCTACTGGCCACGAATTCTCACTAGAACCCCAGGTAACTGCCTACCTGAATAGGGCAAGTCGCTAGCGAGCATCTCATTGATACTTGTAATGCCTGATAATAATTTACCAGCAATATAATTTTCCTATAATTATCATTATGAGAATATTTAAGTTATTAGTTAATAGTGAACCCAGTAAAGGCGTAAGGGTGACCGCGTAAGACTAGCGCAAATATAAAACCACTGCTATTGAAACACCTGGAAGCTCAAGCTTGACACGTCATGTTCAATTAATAAAATCCAAGTGAATAAAATTAAAATAAAAAAACCATGAATACGTCTATACAATGTGTTGCCATTGTTTTTGCTTTTTTACAAAATTTTTTCTACACAAAGCGAAATAATTGTAGACCTCTATTTTCAGATGGGTATATAGTGAGTGATATACAATAAACTAACCTCGCCAAGCATTATTCAAACGTGATGAATCACGTGTTACAACTTTAATCCATAAAGCAGGAGCCCATAAACATGCTTCTGATGCATTCCCATTGCATGTTCTAAATCTTGACATTTCATCAACATCTTCCTCTGATTGTGTACAGACCAATTCGACAAAAAGTGAATCTGTAAGACGAAATAATAATCCCAACCCGCCAAAAAACAAGAACATAATTAAAATTAGGAAGGAATGTACAACTATGATAAGAGAGGAAAAATGGTGGCATAATTTATTCAATAATTTCACTTCCCTATCCTTCACTGAACTATTATTAGAGTATATGTGATTCTTAGATCAAAAACTATTACTACTACCATGGGTACTCCATGGTTTTCCAATGGTTCTCTAACTGATGTCACCTCGTGATCAAACCTGAAACTACCATCAACTGGAGAAACAGACATTTTGTTCTGTTTTCGAATTGTCCAGCAATGCACATCCATGATGCCACCAGCTAGGGGTCGAATCTAGGCCCTTTCAGTTACGAAGCTAGAGCGTTGACGTTTCACCAATTAGGATTGAATCCAGTCGACCACTAGATGCTCTATGTATCCACCTCATAACCCTAAGGTCTTAGAGTCGACCCCTGATGAGGGTCTGTCTGTCTGGATTCAACACAGAACTTGGCACCGAAGTGCAGCAGTTCGAATTGCCACGTTCCAAATACCAAACAGAGGTAGAAAAGAAGATGAGTGAAGAGAATCAATAGAGTTTGACAAGTATAAGAGTGAAACAGAATGGGTAATGGTAGAAAGGAATATGAAAGATTACAGAGACTGAATACATCTGCGCTGGCCATTGACAACGATTTTGAGCCATGTCACCTATTGTCTCCAGTCATTGATTCCTAGAGTCCCGAGGGCCCCAACCCGGAAGTCTCCATCTCCCTACCTGACTCAGTTTAACTGTCAAGGATTTCATGGATTGATGCCATGTTTTGTTTGGCCACAACTTACTCCTTTCCAAACTGCACCTATCTATATCAGCTAGTAATGCCCGTCGGGGGAGGCGATGGTTAGGCATGCGCACCACGTGACCTAGCCATCTCAGTCTATGTAACTTTATAGCCTCGTCGATTGATTTTCCCTCTTTGTCCAACACTCTACGCCTAACGTCAACATTACTTACCTTATTAAACCACCTAACGTGAGAAACAGATCGCTGACATTTATGATCGAAAGCAGTCAACCTTTTCATGTCTTCAACTCGTATTGGCCATGTTTCAGAGCCATAGAGAAGGACGGAGCGAACTGATGAGCAGTACACACGTCCCTTGGTTGATAGCCGGATTTCACGCCTACGCCAGAGAGGTGTAAGTCAGCGAAAGCAGTTCGAGCTTTTTGGATCCGTGCTGAGATTTCGTCGCCAATCAGTCCGTTGGTGCTGATACAACTTCCCAAATAGGTGAAGTGGTTAACATGTCATATCACTTCACTCTCTATCACTACGCTGGGAGTTGATGATGAGGGGTCATAGGTGTGCACCGATGAAGCGACACGCACTAGGACGAAACAGCTGTAGAGCACTTCCTGGTTTCCAGTGGTTATCTCTAACAGCTGTCAGTTGGTAACCTAACTAGAATGCAACCAAATCCCTGCATGCTGACATCATAGTCGATTAAAGGTAGTGGATTACTGACAGTCGAATTTTAATATGATAGTTTGGTGTTTAACGTAGCCTGCTCTGTGACTAACCTTATACAACAGGATGATACTGGTAATAACATGATAACACTTCGTTATTTCAAACTAACATTAACATTATTCTAGCGGTAGGGTACTCGCCAACCACACCACACGTGGTCTGGGGATCGATCCACAGCCAACGTACTACTGAAACTCGCTTAGCTTTTAGGTTAGGTAAAGAGGGAAGGTTGGGCGTGATACCGCCCCGTAACAACTAAACGCCAATGCGATTGAAACTTCAAAGCTTCAGTGTGAAGCCCTATGTTCCACACGGAACGCAAAGGAACAAAACAAAAGAAAAATAAATACAAGCACATAAATAATATTCAAGACTGACTATAGATATCTACTAAGATTTTATGAAACCTGTTGAAACAACTTTGTATCTCCTCCTCATTATAGGAGACGACACAAATTATATTTGTGTTTCGCTTGCACCCGGTACTAGTTTTACATTGAGATATTTACGGGCATACCATGTTATTTTAGATTTGTGGTTCATAAGCCTACCACCCTTTTAAAGTATTATAAGAAATCAAGTGAGGAAATAGAAATCCTACCCCACTTCACGCATAGATTAGGAACACCACAAACTCTCTCTCAAGCACATGAGATGACGACGCAGCTTGTTCATACTTTCGGCTACATGGGTCCCGAGTCCGAATCCTTGTCCACTTAACCCAACCTTAACAACTAAAGTAGTATAATCAGCCCGTAAACAATGCCAGATGTGAAATAAACCAGAACAGGAAACTCAGTGAAGCCTCTAAAGTGAATACAGAAGTAAGACAAGGCTGCCTACCATCACCGATGATATTCCTAACTGTGGTGGACTGGAGCATGCGGAAGACTGTGGGGAGAGAGAAGACAGGAATGCACAGGGCCAATAAGACTAGTAGATCTGGATTTCGTGGATCATTTCTGTCTAATGTCACAGAAACACAAAGACTTACAGGAAAAAACCAACAAACTGGTAGAAGAAGCAACAAAAATCGGACTTCAAGTGAACATAGAGAAGATTGATTTCCCTCCCTTACCTAGCAGTCTATACCCAACCTCAATATTACTCACCATGTTATACTACCAAACACGAAGCTGCTTTACTTTTTTTGCTTTACTTCGGCTATCTCCTACGGGAGGATGAGCCGGCTTCACGAATGTCTCGAATCATCACTGCTCAGGCGCGGCAATTTGTAAGAGAGTTCATGAAGTTTCATGGGAATTTGGTACGAGTGATGACCCCAGCATCGCTCGGCCTTTTGTTTGAGAGTGCAGCTCTAGCCTTTACACAACCAAGTGTGACCTACAAGACAGTAGGAGTGGAGTAAGGAGTCCACTATCCATTGGCAGCCGGTGACCGGAGTTTGGTTCATACGCCTTTTTGAATGGGGCCAGACATCCAGGACATCCAACAAGCCCTTTGTCCATACGTCTGCCGGTGAGCTCCAGTGAGCTTCATACGCCAGTCGTTGGAGGTTTGGAATCAGGGTTTAGCCATCTCCCCTAGGCTGTCATCCAATGGACAGTCAACCCGGTGGAGAGCGCCGGGCATCCGCTTTCGCCCTCTCACTTTGGTGAGAAACACCTCCGCCACGTGAAGGCAGTGAGTAGGACTTCCTCAGGAGAGGCTATGTAAGACGCCCGGTCATATGGGAGCATTTCAAGAGGTGTGTGGAGGGGTGGCCAACCCGCAGCGCAAGGCACCCACCCCCGACCATCCTGAGGCTTTGGAGGCCCAAACACGAAGGGTAGAACGCAAACATCTGTGTTCAAAGACAACTACCTTTTTTCACATCTTCCACTCTCAAAAGTAATGTCTCATAGCCATAAAGAAGTACAAGGAGAACTGCTGGCCAGTATACATGTCCTTTAATCGATGGCCATATATCACGTCTGAGCCAAAGACGACGTAAGTTGGTAAATCCTACACAAGCCTTTTGTATCCCTGCTATGATTTCGTCATGAATTAGTTCATTACAGTTGATGCAACTTCCCAAATAAGTGAAGTGATCAACACGCACTACCGCCACTCCACTATCTTAATTCTGTAAGTCGCTGTAGCCTCATTTTGCGTTTGACTGGAGCGAATCACATGCCAAATATTCGAAGATTTTTGTTCGGAATATTCAGAAGACTCAATATTTTACCATCTTCTTCACCCGGGACTCTAAGATGACAAGACTATTTCCTGTTAACAAGTCAATCCCTAAGTCACTTAAGTTACTTAGTCTGCATTTCAATAATACATCTATGATGAAATTAAACAGAAACAGGAACAGCGGGCATCCCTGATGGAGATCACTCAGCATTGAGGCATTACAGTTAATACTGTAAATTATTGGCAGTGTAAGCCTCCTGATGTTACAAGTATTGTTAAAAGTTATGTGGTGTCACATTGACTGTTACACACTGTTTTTTATGACTTAAATAGCAACATAAATAATGACTGTCGATGGTATATTTATTTGTATTAATTTATACATGTCATTCAACAGCGATTCACTGCATCGCCTGGTTTTCATTCGGGCCTAATGTATTTTACAATGTAGTAATTAAAAAGCTTAGGCATAGCTTCAAAACCCTGAACATTCCACACGGAATGCCTTTAACTGTCAACAGTGTGCATTCTAGTTAACGCGTAATACAAGAGCTTTTATCCACACAGCAAGACTATCCACCCATTATTATATATATGTGTGAAGATGGCTCATTTGCTCAGATTGGAGTAGATAAGGAAAAATATAAGCATATATGTGACACACTAGTTAAAGTCAAATAAGTAAAACGATATAGACATATATGTGCATACAATATCAATTTCACCTTGTTTTTCAGATCGTAAATGATCATTTGCATTAGATGAGTACACTGAATTACCAGACTCTTTCGTATCACTGTCAATCGACTCCGATGGTAATCGATAACGACACAATAAATCCACAAGACGATTACCATAAGCATTGGCTAGTGTTGTTATAGCTTTAAAATACGGTAGATTTGAACATACAACTGCATCGTCAACTGATTCAGAAGGCAACTAACAAGGGAATATTTGAAAAGGAAAAGATAAGAACTGAATACACATGGTTTATGAAAAAGGGACTTGTTATTTTTAAAAACAAGTAAGTACAAAAGTACTCACCAACTGGGGTTCGATCCAGGACTCCGCAGTCACTAGGTGAGCTCATAGACCACTCACTCACTGGGACCCAACCAAGTGGCCTGCGAATTCCAACCTGTGCCAATTCATCATATTTAATTAGCACAATCGCTAGTCATTGTCAAAGGTGAGTAACTGTTCTCTTGCCTGACTTGTAGGACCTAACTAGCTACGACTTCTCACCTGGCGTTCTAGCGAATCAGAATTAAACGCTGGAATTCATGAGTCATTGGATCACATCACCACATCGCCTACGAGAAGGTCCTGGGTTCGAATCCCAGTGGGAGAAAAATAGTAACATGCGGAAAAACACGTAGGTTTAATATATCTGAGAAGTTACAAAACGTGAATGCGTTTTGTACCATTGAAGACGATTTTGGGCCATATCACTAATAATCCCCAGCTATTGGATCTTAACATATCGAACCCCACAACCACGAAGTCTACAACTCCCTAAAATGCAGACTCAAACTCATTATTAAAGACTTCATAAATTGATTCCAAGTTTTGGTTTGACAACTACTAGCTATTATACAATTGGTGGATGGTGGCTAGCAGTGGAATCCAGGATGGATTCCACTGCTAGCCACCATCCACCAATTGTATACTAACTAAATACCCAGACATCGTCGAAGCATCTGCACAAGAAGCCGACATGTCAACCTGAGACCGAGCACTTCGGTCCAATCAATCGACGGAAAAATCAAAAATTCAATTCAATAACTACTAGCTATTTTCAAAAACTGGCCCAATATCAGCTAACAATGCCTGTTGAGTAAGTTGGTAGCCTATTATGAGCAACGTGTATCCCAATCATATCAATCAATGTAGGTTCACAACCTCATCGATTGACTTCCGTCCCTTATTTAGCATTCTACGCCTAACTACAACAACACGCGAGCAAAAGCACAAATATCTGTGGTCAAAGACAGCTAGCCACTTCATATCTTTCATTTATGATAGCCATGCTTCACAAGCATAGAGGAGAGAAGACAGAACTGCTGCACAGTACACACATCCTTTGATAGATAGTCGGAAATAGCTTCTACGCCAGAAATGATGTAATTTGGCAAATGAGAAAAAAATTATCCAGGGAATAAGTGAAGACTTATGAGCATTGGCGAGAATCCTTATGATGAATTTGTGGAAGCTTTAGTGAAACACTGTGACCAATGAAGCCCCTTAGGTCAGGAATGCCAACAAATACTTACCAATGATAATGATTTTCAGTGGTCAGTGAGAAGTCAGGATACAACGAAGTTACTGAATTTAAACCTTGTGTGCCCTAAAGCCTGATAATTGATGGCTCAATTCTTTGCGACGATGTGTGTCCATAAGAAGCAGATGAGTAAAGTGAGGAATTTTTATACATTTTATGCACTTAAAACACTATTTAACAGGAACAGTATATGACACCGTTGCAAATTTATGTTGCAAACTGGCTCAAGGGGGTGGCTCCTTAAGACAACCACCCGCTTTGGTCTGGACGTCCGAGTGGCACATCTCTTGGTGGCAATAATGTAACAAGCCTGTGGTTTAAAAAAATAACACTGATAATATTTAGACAGATGGTAGCCGTAGCTTCATTTTTGGCCGAGGCAAGTTAGGAAGCAACGGCGCTCAACGAGACTAAACAGACTCCGTACCAAGTTGGTTCTAAAAGGTGAGTATCAAAAGAAATTTCAAAAATAAACCAGAATGACTACTAGTCATAACAAAACAAAACAGCACAAACGCTTACAGATTCAAAATGTGTTATCTCTTTTTGGCACATTCTCAGTAGACGATGTTTTCCTGGGACATCAGGAATAGTGGTATGTATCAGTTCAGTTAATTCCTTCAGCTCACGAATAACTGATGCACTAGTTTTCTTAGTCATTATATCACATGGAAGAGAAACACTTTAAAAAATAGCTTTTTGAAGGAAAATATGTTTTTCCCAATTCATTAAATTATAACATCTATTTGAAAGAAATAGATCCTGTAAATGAAATACAAAAACTGAGCATGCTTAAAAATTACTTTCAGATTTAGTTAGAAAACGTAACTACTTTAATTTATGCAATTCTTCATTTCACATCACAAGCTGACATCAGTTAGAGAACCATTGAAAATCAGGTAGGGCTGGACAGCTTTACCGTCCTAGTTTGGGACATTTCAGCAGTACGAGACCAGAGGATTCTGTCAGTAGCTGAATAGTCTCATCTTGAGACCTGAAGGTCATGGGTATGCTATCCTTGGTCATGACTGCGTGCTGAAGATGAAGCAGCTGTCTGGCATTCTGCCGTCTTCAGTGGTCCTCTAAATGATGTCACTTCATCATCGGCCGAATTCCCGCAAGCTAATAGTTAAAAAGCATCAGTGCAAATGGGTTTATAGGTCAAGTGTATAGTTTGACAGCCATAAACATAAATGTTTAGAGTAGTTTTGCATTAAAGGTCAAAAGTAGGTAACAAACATGGATTCCTGAACAAAAATACTTCTAGAAGTACTCACAAAAGCGTAGGACAGTGGAGAGATAAGTCTAGCTTTTACTTACTAATGACCATTTTGGGATATGGTTAAATAACTCCACCCGGTTTGCTAGCCAATCCTAAGTCCGGAAAGAAGGAAGTTGGACATCGAGCTAGCAGCTCTACGTTGTAAAAGACTAACATTGCTACCGACACTTAATGGTACAGAAAAAAATAAACCCATCTTCCATTTGAATTCAGAAGTCTTCTCAATCTGGAGACGGACTACCTTGAGGAGCGAAAGCCTACGGGGAGCCATTCGGTCGATAAATCTTTTTTCGATGAAAGCAAAAGTAATCATAACGAAATGGAATGCCTTTAAGATATTTGAAATTAACTGTCATCTAGATGATAGCCACGAGTACACATACCCTAGATAACTCCCTATTTATACTTTATGACGAAACAAACTGACAATTAATATAGAATGGCAAATATGTGTATCAGTTTAATTAGTCACACTTGAGATCACAGTATTTGGGTGAAACTAAAGAAGACGAAGAGGTGTTCAAGTTTTACACAGTAAGAAAGCCGAGTTTTTAAAGCAAAGAACCCCATTTTCCAAGTTGAGATTCGAATGGAACTTTGACAGCGTCGGAAAAATCTATGACACTACGTACATATTTTCGTACTCCACTAATAAATATCACCGTTAATTGTTTCTTATAATGTATCTAACCTTGTTTGGGTTAGGTATGTACAACGGCAAATCTGGGACGAGGAAGCCTATGTTGTAAGAGAAATAAACACAGGTTATTGGGGACTGGAAAGCTCGTTTATTCTATTATATAAAGCCTAGAGTACTGTGGCTACCTCGACTGCTACAACTA